CACATACTGAGTTAGCAAAGATATATGAAAATCTCCCTAGCATATGTCACTTCTGCATACTTCCTTTATGAAAGTAAATGTGACATTAAAATTTAATTTTTTTATTTTATACTTTATAAAAATATAAAGGTTACACTTTATGACCTTTTAATCAAACAATCTCATTTCTAGGAATTTATTCCAGAGACATATTCACGCATACAGAAAATGATATATGTACAAATGCAAGAGATATAAGAGACTTGGGTTTGATCCCTTGGTTGGGAAGATCCCCTGCAGAAGGACACGGCAACCCGTTTCAGTATTCTTGCCTAGAGAAGCCCATGGACAGAGAAGCCTGGTGAGCTACAGTCTATAGGGTTGCAAAGAGCGGGACATGAATGAAGCAACTTAGCATACACACACACACACACATACAGCCATTAAAATGAATTAGGGAGTTATATATTCATGGGTGTGGAATTGATCTCCTAAAAACTAAACTGCAGGACATATTTGTACCTTTTATGTTTACACATATAAGTCCACATGTGTACACACACATATATACATATAGAGACATACAATATTTAATATACACACATATCTACTCTTAAGCATAGAATATTTCTGAAAGAGTATAAAATAAGCTGGCAACAGGAGTTGCCTCTGGAAAGGGAAAATAGGTAGCTAAGAAATTTTGTACCATATGTATATATTACCTATTAAGTAAAGAAGTTCAGAAGCTGACTTTGGAAAGTATTTTAAAACTGAAATATTAAAAAATATAAAACTTCTTACCTATGTTTTAAATATAATCTAAATCATTACCTTGATCTATCATGCAAATTTTTATTTATAGTTTTATTAGGGGAGCAAATTATCCCTTTGACATTAACAGAAAATCTAAACTGTGTATGAAAAGATAATTTACATGACAAGAAACACATAATTTCTAACTTGTTTCAAAAACATCTCATCTAAAAGACTATGATACAAGGACAGCAGAAAGCCCAATAAATATTTACTGAAAATACTTTTCTATTGATTTCAGTGGGTTTACTTTACTCATACATTTTTTTTCACGTCACACCCAAAACAAACAAAAAATAGTAACAAGAACAAAAGCACACTGGAAAATATAAACTTTAAATAAATTACACACTTTATCCAAAAAATTTTATTTTCCAACAAGTTTGGTAAACTACTTAATGTTAATGAACATTACTCGAAGTTAAATCAACATTGCTTACTAGATACCTACCATGTGCAGGTGTTAAGGATGCTACAAAACAGAGACTCCAAAGAAGAGTACATCTTTATTCCTGCTCTCAAGAAGTTTACAGTCTTGAAAGACAAGGCTTAAAAACTTTAATCAATAAAAGAACATTATAGATTTTACTGATACACTGAGTTATCCAAACTAAAACTGTTAAAGGCATTCATGTAAGGATTTAAAAAAAGTAACTGCTGATCCATTGAAGGATCTATTGAATATAAAAATGCTTCCAAAGTCCTAATATCTCACTCATATGTAAAACTGTAACATTTGATAATGACCAAAGACTTCCAGAATATGTGAATATTCAACTAGGCCTTGAAGAAACTACTAATGATTAAATATAAATAGTTTTTAATTATTCACGCTCCTTAGAAGAGAGTTTACTGTAGTGGTCTCAATCAGTTTTGATCGCTCACCTTTCTCACTAAAAATATATCAGCCATTAACTGTTAAAATATGTATATTTACTTATATGCATCTTCACATTGTCAATCTATATATTAAGTATCAATAAAACTTAATTTCTTTCTTTTTCAAATACAGACAGAAATGTAAATATAAGTTTTAATAATTTTCTTCTTGTAATCCAGTACATCATCATATGATGCCCTTGGGTATCCACACTCTACTTTGTATGAATACTTAATATGAATATTTAAACTCACAGATCATGCAAAAATATTTTCATCCAATGGTTTCAATTTTTCACACAGCGAACTCATTTTTTAACATAGCTGTTAAAAGGCAGCAGACATGAATTTGAATTTCAGTTTATTTCTCTCTGCCTATCACCTTCTCTCAGAATAAATGTTAACATGCAATTAAACAGACATCACTAAAGAGAAAAGTATAGTCATGACCAGGCAAAGGGCCCCTAAAATCTAAAGGCAAACAGCAATCATTGAAGAATATTAGTACTATTTTTTTCTTATAAATAGCATTTGTAACTTGAGTCAATATTGAAAATAGTAGTAAATTGTCAAAATCCTCAAAACAATGTCTCATTTTTATCATTCTATTATAAAGTTTATTCTTTTCCTAATCTTCCGCGTCTAATCTTATTTTATTATGAAAGCCAAAAAGTAGTTTTTATCTACTTTTAATTGAAGGATAACTGCTTTACAATATTATGTTGGTTTCTGCAAAAGTATTTTTAAAGACCATTAAAAATTAAAGTTTCAAATATGTTATAATTTAACCTCTAAATAGTTTCTTGTTAAAATGAATACAAAAATTATTCTTAAACCATGTATATCATTTTGAGGTATGACTCCTTCCAAGTCTAACTTAGGTAAAGATGCAAATAGCTATTTTACATAAACACAAACAGATTTTTCATCAATGCAATTTCATAGACTGTATGACTATGTTCTTAGAGAATGCTTCTTTCGACCTAAACTATGCAAATATGAATGCACAAACTTTATATGCATTTGCACAGTATGTAGGTTTACACAGGAATGTAAAATACTCACATGTACCTATCTGAAAAAACGCTTTCACATTTTCCTAATATAACATATAATTCACCTTAAATAATCCTTAATTTAGTACTCAAAAATTCATTTGTTTCTATATATTGGAACAATAAATAGATTTGGAACTACAGCGAACTAGCCAATAAATACCATAATTCTGCATGACGTTAAAAAAAATAAAAACACTTCCTACATTTAAATATGAGTCAAACAAATAAAGCCACATTTATTTTGAGCATCATTTTGGCAATACTTCTAACAATTATAAGAAAAGTCCAGGTTTGATGCATGAGACAAGTGCTCAGGGCTGGTGCACTAAGATGACCCAGAGAGATGGGATGGGGAGGGAGCATGGTTCAGGATGGGGAACACATGTAAATCCATGGCTGATTCATGTCAATGTATGGCAAAAACCACTACAATATTGTAATTAGCCTCCAACTAATATAAATAAATGAAAAAAAAAGACCCCCTGCACACAGCCATGCTAAAAAAAAAAGAAGAAAATACAGATTCATATATCCAAATATCAAACTCTAAGTCATCAAAAGGTTGACATTGTTAGTAAAGTTAAGCAAAAGGCAGAAGTATGCCCAAAGAGCTCTTTAAAATAATTGTTTTATTTTTCACTAGTTGAAATAAGCTACTTAAATCTCTTACTATTTTTTCCATTTCCCAAGCCTACTAATAAATCACATTACCAAACAACTACTCAAACCCAGAAATTAGTTTTGAAGAAGCAATTCTTTATTTCAGTTTGTATGATAGAAGCACATTTCCTCTCTTAGTCCTTCAGTATTTTTTGAGAACAGTATTTTTCTTGGACATGTAAAGATATTTGATAAGTTTGTTATATAATTTAAAGTAGCATTTTTCATTAAAATATGTAAATATATATGTGTAGAGAGGGTTGTTTCTTTGTTAAGTGCTAAAGAATACTGAATTCAACAACCTGTTTTTTGGAATTTACATGATTAGAGGTCAGTGTGTTAGTTCCTTCCCAGAGGAACTCTACACTTTCAACTATGTGTTTCTGTGGAGAATATGGGAAAAGCATAATTTAGAAATAGGCGACACGAAAGAACTGTCGCATATTTGGTATATAAACTGTACAAAGTAATCTTAATGAATAATGCATTTCTAGCAAAAAATGAAAGAACTGAGCTGGAAAAACATTTAAAAATGGTTACACATGTTCTGCACAATCTCCTTCACGTAGTAACCGAGAAGTCAAAGAACCGTACAACATTCAAAAGCAAACCTGCTGAAACACATCTCTTAGCTAGACTGACAAGAAAAGGAACCTCAAAACGCCTACAGATCTCGCTCGCTCTCTCTCTCTCTGGACAGTTCCCCAGTGCTGAAGTTACTCCGTCACTAAACTGTGTTGGGTGCCTGGGTGCTGCTTTCACTGTCCCACCCTCCGCAAGATCCCGCTGCCTAGACTACGAGCACGAGGAACAGAACTTCACAAGGTAGGGAGCATCCCAAACTACAGTAACGGGAAGAACTGGAGTCCCTTCGGAGCCTCTTCGGGATTAAGCAGATTTACGAGTTGCAAATAGGAAGAGCGGCAGAGCGCAGGGTGTTACACACCCGCCGAGGGGGAGGGGCTGGAAGATGGCGGCGGCCGCACACCCACCCGAGACACGACAGCGCGTATTACAGGCCCCCCTCGGCCGCACCGCCGCCCTCATGGCCTGGGCGACAGTGGGCAGCGCTGCTCTTCCCGCAGTGGGGCGGGGTGTGGGGGGCAGAAGCGCCCCGCACAGGCGGGGCTCCCGGCGGCGCCCTCCTCCCAGGCCAGCGCGCCTCCGCCCGGGTCCCGGCCCGGGGAGCACCTGTGCACGGCCATATTGGATTCCTCGCCCCAGTCACTGCCTCCGCGCGGGGGCGGCGGGAAGCGACCAGGGACGCGCGGAGCCCCCGTTCAGCCCGGAGCCCCGCCGGGGCCCGCAACCGAACTGGCCCGGCGGGGCAAGCCGGAAAGACGCCGAGGGGGAGTTACAACGCCTACAGGCTCGCCGCGGCCGGCCTCTGCGCTCTCCCTCCCCGACACACACACCCTGCGCTCTGACAGCCTTAGCAAGCTAGCCCAGGAGCCCGGCGGCGGTCGCAACCCTCGTGGCCCAGGCGCCGCCGGCGGGAAGGGAGGGCGGCGATCCCAGGGCGCGCCGGCGGCCGCAGGGCAGCGACCGAGGTGGGGGGGACGGCGGAGGGCAGGGAGGGAGGGAGGCGGGAAGATGGAGTCAGGTCCTTACTTGAGCACCGACTGCTCCTTCTCCTCTTCTTTCTTCTGCCGATCCATGACGGCCAGGATGATTTTCCTCTCCTCCTCCGTGAGGTGGCTGAGGTCGGGCATTTCGGGCTGCAGAGGCGGCTGAGAGGCCGCCGGGGTGGGAGCCGGGCGGCCCCGCGGCCCGACAGGAGCCGACATGTTTGGCGGAGTCCAACCACCCTAGGGAAGCAGGGAGGCAACTCCACCGGCGGCGGCGGCGGCGGCGGCACCCGCGCGGGCGGCTGGGGCAGCCTCCGGCGCCGGGACAAATACATACAAATCAATGGCCTTCAATCCCAGGCGACGGCCGCCCTCCCCCAAGATGGAAAAGAGCGGGGGGGCAGGGGAGGGGAGGGCGAGCGCGGCGGGGTGGGGGAAAGGCAGGGCTGACGAGTGCGCTCCGAGAAATGTTTCTTTTTTCCCGGGGGGCGAAGGGCTGGCAAGTGAGCCGTTGGAGCGAGAAGAGGAGCGGGAGGCCGGGCCGGGCCGCGGAGGGCGCGGAGCTGCGCGGGGAGGGTGGTGGAGTAAGGTGGCGGGGACGGCGATAAGGGTGGGGTGACTGGAGGGAGCGGGCAGGAGGGCGGCGCGCCGGCCCGGGGCGCGAGGGTGTCCGGCCGCGGCGGAGGCGGAGGGCCCCGCGCGCGCCGCTCGGGAGCCGAGACAGGGGTGGCGGCGACCCAGCCCCCTGGGGGGAGTCCCGGGAACTCGCTCCGAGCGCGGGAGAGGCAGCGCCCCGCGAGCCAAAAGGGGCGCCCAGGCGGGGGCGCAGAGGGGAGTGAGGAAGCCGGGACGAATTTCCCAGAGAAGCTGCCAAGCCGTCCCGCCGGCCGACGCGTCACTGGGCTCCCGGCGCCACGGAGGGAGGACCCCCCCCCCTCCAGAAACGTCGAGGAGAAGGCCGGGGTCTGGGGGGCAGCCTTGGAGACCACCCCTCCGGGCTAAAGCGGGGAAGCGAAAGCGGAGTAGGGATGACAAGGGCTAGCGGCGGACAGTCCCGAGGCCGGGGCTTCGCGGTCGATCCCAGCGACCTCCGACGCGCAGCAGAGTCGGGCGCGGGTCCTTCCACATCAACGCGCCCGCCTGGAGTCCCTCAAGCTGCCACCGCCCCTGTGGTCCTTGGAGTGGGTGCGGAGGGCCCGCTCCCTACGCCGCCGCCGCTGCTGCTGCCGCCGCCGCTGCTCGGTGCTGCCGCCCGCGCCTCCTCCGCCCCTCCGCCTCCCGGGCTCCTCCCGCGGGGGCCGCGTCACCTCCCGGCCGTGGAGGCCGGGGCACCGCGGACGCCCGGCGAGCGGCGCCCACCCCTCCCGAAGGCGATCAGTGGACTGGGACCGGGCGGGGAGAGGCTATGGGGTGGGAGGGAGGGAAGGAAGGGAAGAGGGAGCTGGGCGGAGGAGAGCGGGAGTTTCAAGGGCGGGGGTGTGGAGAGGGGAGCATGAGCCGGCGTCGGGAGAGAGGGAAGAGTTAAGAATCGAGGTGGATGGAGAGCCCTGTGGGTCAGCTGGAGGTAGAGAACCAGGAGCGCGGGGACCGGCGGCGGGCGTGTCGGGTCCGGAGACTGAGTGAGATCCGGGAGTGAGGGCTCGCAAGGGTTTTGAAGAGGGAATGGGGCGGGGCGGCGCGCAAGGTGTCAGGCTGGAGGGGAAAAGTGTGAGCGCTTGGAGGGGCTCTTGAGCTGCCAAGGGCGGAGTCCTGGAAGGAAGGAGACTGTAAGTGTTTGGGGTGGGGGGATGGTTCCCCGGGGGATCCTCAGGGCGAAGAAAGCTGGGAGAGGTATTGACTGAGGGCGCAGGAGAGGCTGGAGAATTGGGAAGTGACATTGGGAGAGTTAGGGTTTGTCTGGAAAAGGTGTGCGGATGAGGAGGAGACCGGAGGCTGTAAATGTGAAGGCGAAGGACTAAGGATCGGTCGGAGAGAGGATCAGCCGGTGCTTGGGCCAAGGGCTTCGTTCTATTTGGCCCTCTTTGGCGGGCCTTATCTAGAGGGAAGTGGCAGGGAGGCAGGGGATGGGGTTAGTGGGAGAGTCTGGTTTTCCAAGCACAGGGACGGGTACGGTGAAAGTGGTTGAGAGTGAACAGAAAACCAGCTCCTGGAGAATGGCAGTGGCTGCCGCTGCCCTGTGTTATGGGTAGGGCTGAGCCCCGCCCTGACAACTCTCTGGGTGGAGTGAGGTGGGGCGGGACAGGGAGCTAGTGGAAAGCGGTAGAGTTGCGGCCAGGGGGACTCATTGCCAGAGATCACCCCTTCTGCCTGCTCTTGGCAAGAGCAGTGGATGACTGAGGTGGGGTGCGTGTACGTGTGTGTGTATCTACGTATACGTACACACCCCTACCCCGCCTTCCACTCTAGCTTTGTTTAGTACCAGGCCAGATTATCGTCTGATGAGTGGTGTAAGGCCTTGGGGACTTGTATTATATTTATCTTCTTGGTGTGTAGCAAACTGTCTCCTCCCGCTCCCCATTCCCCGGGTAGCATCTGACTAGCTCCCAATTTAAGAGGGCTGGGGATACACAAAGCTGCCCTGGAAGTCTCTTGTGATTTCTAAGCATGAATGTCTTCTGTTTCTTTTCTTCCACCCCTTGTAAGGGAAAAGTTTACTTAAGTGCTTTTATTTATTTACTCACTTATTTATATTACTCACCTACTTCAAATCAAACTCTTACACCCCCAAATAATTCAGTTTTCATCTCTTTGAAGTTAGTTTGGTGAGATCATATGAATCCCCATTTATGTGATTTTGTTATAGAGTTAGAGGGTTATTATATATCTCTACTCCAACCTCATCATTTTATGGGAACTAGAGAACTAAGGTCAGCCAGCTAGTAAATGCCAGCACTGCAACTAGAACCTAGATACTTTTCTCCTGTTTGAAACCATGGCAATGTTAAACCCTAGCTGCACTTTTTTAAAATACCACCTGGGTCTAACCCTAGATCAAATGAATCAGTCTCTGGCGTTAGGACTCTAGTCAAGAGTGCATTTTGATAATTCCTAAGTGACTAAAACATAGGAAAGGCTGGGAACTATACCAAGTGCATTACAATAAAAGATAATGGAGGAGAAACTGGGAAGTGGAAAACAAAAAGAACACTTCTAGTGAGACTGATTTTTTTTTAACCTAAAATTGGAGTATTGAGTTTTTAAATAACACTCACACTTTCCTTTCTGCTAATATGCAATGACAGGTAACAGTAAATACATATATATATCTATGACCTTTGTCTCACTGCCGCTAAAATACACTAAAAGCTCCTTTAAAAGAAAGGAGAATAGAACTAAAAGCAAAAAGGATGGGTGGAACACTCTACCTTATTCAACTATTTCTGAGGCAGATTTGAAGCACCACCAGCTCCATTCCCCAGCCAGCTATCAACCCAAGCAGAAAGGGACTACCCAGAGGTTAAAATGGCTTAGTTATTTTGAGTACGTAAAATGTGAACTTAAAAGAGGTTGTCCAAACTGAGCAGTTTTGGCTTATTTTATAGTAGAGTCACATCCTGGGCCAAACACTGTTTTCTACCAGTCATAAAGTATGCTGAGTGCCTGCAGTTGTGTCTCCCAGATCTCCTTCTACCTCTCACCTTCCTAGAGATAATGCCAGCATATAAAACTCCATGTGCATAAGCTGCTATCACTGGGACACCTGATTTCTTATAGGATTGGATAAAGCAGAAGTGTATTTCCTTTTTACATTTCTTTACTTCGAACAACTGCATGTGTTTTTCCTACTAAAGGGAATGCTTAGCAGTGGAAGTATCAAAATCATGTTCCACTCTGATTCATACACCTTTTCAAAATAAAAATTTGTCACAGTATTTATATAACATACAGAATCCCATAGAATTTGAGATGGGCTACTTTTCAAAGTAGTAGACCCAATTTAAAGTAAGATTGGTATGCTGAGAACTAAAACACCTTCCAAAGATATCTTCTGTTTTGGTCTCTGTTTGTTTTGTTTGTTCTGGTTTAGAATTTAACCTAAAATGTTTTCACATCTCATTATATCTTGTAAGGCATTATGTTTTACTTAGGCATGTCCCTCAAATATATGAACACATTTGAAGTTGAGTTGAAAGTGTATTGTTCTTACTTACCTTTAGGAGTAACTCTCCATCTTCATCTTCATCCCTCATTGAGTTCTCAAGGTCTTCTTGACAGGCCACAAACTAACTCAGAAATGCAAATTCTTTCTTCAATTCCTATAGGAGCATAAGTTTGTGAAGCCTGTAAGCCTATGGACTTTGATTTTTACATAAGGGTAAGGGCGAATTAGGGCTTCCTTGGTGGCTCAGTGGTTAAGAATCTGCCTGACAATGCAGGAGACATGAGTTTGATCTCTGAGTAAGGAACATTCCCTGGAGAAGGAAATGGCAACCCACTCCAATATTCTTGCCTGAAAAATCCCATGGACAGAGGAGCCTGGCGAGCTATGGTTCACTAAGTCAGACACAACTTAGTGACTAAACAACAACAACGAGGGCTAATTACTTGTAATCTACTAAACAAGTTACAGGAGGCATATCTAAACTAAAAACTGTAATAATCACTAAAATTTACGGAGGACTCAGTACTCTGCTAAGAGATCTGGCTGCCTCACAATGCTTAGAATCATTGCAGCTCTCAGTTCCTCCTAACAGATCTCCCTGCTTCCATCCTTGTGGCTTTCAGGCTTTTCTCAACACAGCATAAAGACAAAGCCTCCTAAAATATTAGTCAAATCATATCACTCTACTGGTCAAAATCCTGTGGTGGCTCCCCACTTGACTCAGTCAGAATTAAACCCCTTAAATGGCCTGCAAGTCCCCCATAACCTCTCTGACCTCATCTACTAGTCTCTTGTAGGCTTTCCTCTAGCTGTTCCTTCTGCCCAAAATACTATTCACCCTGATATTCACATGGCCTCCTCCCCATTCTGCACATTTCCGTTGAGCTAGCCATCCTGTTTAATACTCCAGCCTGCTTCACCTGCTCCCTGGTCACTCTAGTCTCCTTTTCCTTACCCTGATTTTTCCATGAAAAATCACTTGCCACTCTCCAGCTTTTACTCCAAGTTGAATAATATCCCAGCTGTTTATGTTTATCATTAATCTTTAACTTCCCGCACAAGAATATTTAAGCACATGAACAAAGTAGGATTTTTACTAATGTACCGTATGGGCCTA